AGATTGCTGGGATCCACTTTATAATATCTGACGTACATCAGAATGTCAGGGGCCGAAGATTTACCTGTGTGGATGTTTGTGGACAAAGAAACGGATATTTAGTGTTTTACAGTGATACAGCATCAGTGTTTCGCTGTACAGTTGATCATTGCAGTGTAATTCACGTTTGTCAGCCAATATTGGGACACTGTGTGAAATGTAAATAAAGACAGAATGCACTGATTTAAAACTCATATTTATTCAGAAAAACTTGGTTTAAACTATGAAAATGTAGAAAAATATTAGCAACACATTAGCAAACAGAATCAGCTGATCTGTTCCACACTTTGTGTTTTTGTTTCGCCCAATCAGCTTTGGTTTTGACATCAGCGTGAGGGACAGTTAGGATTAGACCCAATCAGCTGTTCAGATTATGATCCCACAGACTGGGACGAAACCACAGCTGAGCAGTGTGACTGCGTCCTTCAGGAGGCGCCTTGAAGCTGTACTGTCAATAAAGGTTTTTGTACAAGTATTCAATAAGTTTCAGATGGTGTGTTCAGCACTTTTCCCTGCTTGTTTTTCATCACTATGCATAACTTAATATGTGCACGTGTATGATGTCTTTGCATGTGTGGACTGAGTGGGTTTCATGTCTACAGCACCTTTAAAAACATCTTTGCCTATAAAATCGGTGGCGTGTTCGATACTGTATCAGCTGACAGCGGTATGGTCTCATTCCCTTTTCCTTGTGCCTGAACACTCTGAGCTTTACGTGTTTTCCCGTGTAGCTTTAGTCTTTCTTTCTCTTTTGTTATTGTTTTGCTTGATGTCACTTTTCATCTACAGCTACTTAAATATCCGACGCTACTATCTGATCTCCTGTGTCTGTTTCAATCTGCAGGATGGCTCTACAGGAAACGCTTTCCTCATTATGGCCACAACCACCAGCACTGACAACAGCAGCATCTCCAAACTCCACAAGCCATTTAAGGACCATAAAGACAAGACCCCAAAAGACTTAAAAGACCCCAAAAGTGCCTTCAGGGACTCGGGCTGGGAACCCGGAAAAGCCCCCAAAGAATCTTCCAGGAAACCCAAAGAGAACCAGCCGCTTAGAGAGATCAATCCTAAGATGGGCTTCAAGCAGCCCAAGTCTTTGTCTAAGGAGCGTAGGACTGAGGGGATAACTCATGCGTCGAGGTTAAACAAGCGCTTGTCTGGCCTCGATGGTGACGATCACGGGACCAAAAGACGCAAAAAGGGGTTTGTGAATTCCTCGGAAATGCCGATTTCAGAGTTAGACGGTCAGAGTTTGGATAAGAAACTACTGAGAGACAGATCGCAGCTGCACACCAGTAAGCTACGAGCAGAAAGCGAGGACGCAGACCTCAGGAGCGCGTCCACGCTGCCGCCATTCCAGGACCTGGTCGATGCTAATGACTCTGATGTGGAGGACCAGTCTGCCAGATCGGATGTGAGTAAACGTGACGCTTTACTGTCGTTACAACTGGGAATGAGCTCATCTACTGGCTCTGCTACATAGGTACAAGTATAAGGCACATCTTCTCCTTGATGTATATAAACAACCACCAGGGATGGTTTGTGGGGGGGGCACAGTAAACCTGGTGGAAGTTCAGGTGCATTCGTCTGCACATTGATTGGTTTGGGAGCAAACAGCTGACGATGATGTCGAGTATCTAACAGAGCGTCTTCTTCAAACCCGCGAGCCAAATTAGGAAAATGCTGCAGTTTCATGAACAGGCTGACCTTTGACCTTGTTGCCATGCCCACGCTGGTTTGCAGAGAACCCCATAAAGATGCCGTTTTAAAGCCGAATCGCAGACGAGAAAGATTTATGGTTTTACAGCACCTGAGGAGAAACGAGGGCCGTAAATAGCACAGCTCCTCTTTAATTCTTTTCGCTTTGAAAGAATCAAACGGCTGCGTGTTTGTGCGTCACAGCGTTTCTTTATGCAGCAGTTTTTATTTCTGTTGTCGGCGATTGTATGAAGTGCAGCTCTTTTATGCATCGTTCTCTGCCGCGTGGTTAGTCAAAGCAGTTCTCACAGAGTGGCACCGAAACCTGTGTTTTTGTCATGAAAGTAGCTTTGGGGTGGGGGCTGCTGCAGCTACTGGTTGTAAAAAGCATGTGGGGTGACAAATTCCAGGCATTTGATTGTGCCCAGGCTAGCAACCCTGGTGGGCCTGAGGCGACACAGCCCAGCGCTCCCATTGCTTCATCTTTGATCTCCGAGTTTGGGAGTGAGTGCTCGGATAAAAACAGCAGAGAAGGAAACGCGGACGAGGTGATGACATGAAGGAAGGGAAACTGGGTGTGACCTCCGACCAGCACACGTCTGTTTAAGACGAATCCGTTTTATTTCCATGGCGCCGCATCGTCGAGGCGCTTTGTGCTGGATGGTCAGGACCCCACAGAGATACTGGTGTCTCAGGATGCTGACGATAAAAGTAAAAGAAAGTTTATCATCTGTTTGATTCAAGTGTCCACTCATCATCATCACACAGCACGAAGATAAGAACATTTAATTATGTAAGAGTGTCTCAAACTTCAAACATGATAAAATATCTTTATTTTGAATGACAGTATTCAGTGCAGTGTTTTTCTACATTCAGCTGTTTTAATCACGTCCCAGGTTTGATTTGTTTGCTCTTCATGAGATGTCGTCTGCTGCTCTGGACAATCCTCTCTCTTATTTTCAAACTGTAATGAGTGCCAGCCATCTGTTGTCATTAGCTTTGCAGGTTAGCGGGATTCATTATTGTAGGCTGAACAG